ATTAAAAAAAAAAAAACCCCACTTGACTTTTTTTCCTTCTCATTAGTTAGCATAGAAATTAAGAGCTCAGAATGGAGGAATACTTTTTGGTTCAAATCCTCGCCCAGTCATGTATGAGCTGTGTGATGTTGGGCAAATTACTTAACCTCTCTGGCTCTCATTTTCCTCATCTGCAAAATAAGATAAGATAGTACCTGTGTCATTGGGTTAATATGAAAATTAAAAGGGTTAATATTTGTAAAAGACTTAGAACAAAGCCTGGCAACATAGCAAGTGCTTTCTAGGTATTTGTTGAATAAATAAAATAAACAAATTATATTTCAGATGTTAAAGAGCTTTCATTACGTGCATGTTCTTTCATTATGTGTATGTTAAGAGGTATTTTGTTTGCCTCTTAAATGCTTCACTCATCTTTTTGTTTGTAATATTTTTAGCCACTTTTTCATTTGAAAACAAACTATTTCCCTAAATTCTGATTGTGCCACCTCTTAGCGATTATGCCACCTCTTGGTTCAGTGAAACCTGCCTCAAAGCAGATGTAAGCAAACTGCACACTTGTGTTGCCTTTCCACCTGAAAAATGTCCCCTTACATCCTTCAGTGCAAAATCTAGACTATCCTTATCACCATCTATGTATTAGGTAACATGAACTCCAGGCTGCAGAAGGAGCCTTCCCAGTAACATACAGAGAACATGGCTTCTTCATATCTCCTGCCACTGTGATCAAGAATAAAGATTAGTTGCTAGCTTTGTCCCGACTTTACCAACATGACTCACTCTTAATAATCTAAATGCAGACATGCTTTCATATGAATTTTCAAATTTGAAAATTCTGCTCACTTAGCACAAAGCACCATTTCAAGTCCAGGTTTTTCTTCTCTTCTCAGAAGTGATCAAAAAGAAATGTAGAAAATAATCCTTTCTCTTTTTACATAGAAACCACTAACATTTTAACAAATTGATTTTTGCTAAAAATGAGCATAATAAATAGATTTTTTTTTAACATTGGAAGGGAAGGTTCCCCTTGCATCAAAATATAAAGATTATTTAGCCAACTCCAAGAAGATGGATAAAAACTATGATCATAATGGTTGAATTATTGAGAAAGAAAAATATGTTACACAAAGACCAGAAAACAGAGTGGGAGAGAAAGGTCTGTAATGGCTTGGCTGCTAAGGACATATTTATGCGCATGCCAACGCTAAGTGCTCTTCCCGATAAGTAAACCACATGTCCATCATTGCATGCTTCCTCTCACTGAGATCCTGCTACTTCACAATTTTCCCTTTGTCCCACTCCTTGTCTCATCTTCTTCCACCTCCAGCCCAGTCCCCTACCCCTAGCTTTACTTCCCTGGGCCACCAGTATTTGTGCCCTATCTACCAACTGGAACATCTGCTACCTTAAAAAAAAAAAAAAAATCGAAAATCACCTCATTGCCTAGCATCCTCCAGGGCAAAAAGTTTGAAAGATTCAGCATCCTCAAAAAACAGCCACAGAAGGGGGAAAAAAAAGCATTATCTTTTCCAGCTCAGTAAATTCTATCTGTATAAAGAGTAAAAGAATAATACTTTAAAAATTCCTCAATGCAAGCAAATCCATGTTATCAACAAGGTATTGTCTGTCTTTATGCATAGGAGACAGACACCCACACATTTTATTTTATTTCATTTTTGCACTGTGTCTCCTTTGCAACATATTACCATATAGAAGAGATACAGTATATAGCTTTAACTCTATAGAACAAAATGCCAATATTTCCCCTCTTTCTCTCGGATGGTTTCTTATCCTTTTTTTTTTTCTGTCCCAAAACACTTCCCCAGCTGAAAGATAAAAAATATTTCCACCAAATTAAAGACAGTACTGTGTTAAAATAGCTTGCCTGAATCCAACCAGAGCCCATTTTTTTTTTAAAACTTCATTTCCACATTTGGTCAGCAGCTCTCCCCACTCCATTCCTTGTATCAGCAGCCTCTTTCCAACCCGAATTCCCATCGCCATATACCTCTGCCCTCGAGCCCTTACCAGTCCATTTCCTTTATATGTTTGCACTCAATTTGATTCCATCCTTCATGCTTTTTTCATTATTCTTAGTTCATCCACACCACATAAATTATCACCTTTGTTTTCAGTTCCCCATGTGTCCTGTTCACACCAATTCCAAATAAATACTTCTGATTCTCATCCATTGAATCCAAATTAATTCACATTACCTCTCCCCAACCTCCATCCTTATCCCTACCTCCCCTCTTATCTGTTTCTCTTTCTTATGGCACCTACTTTTCCTTCTAAGCTTGTTTCTGAAGAAGGTCTCACAGGCAAACGCTTCTGCAGGATGCAAGGCCACTGCTTCCTGTGTTATCTGAGGGGAGCCAGGCTCTCCCTGTGTCACTGCCAATGGCAGTGGACAATGCCTGTGTGTCCAGTTTCACCCTCCACAACTGGTGTCCATGAGCATCACCACTCCACATCCCATTGATCATCCATTGGGAGTGAGCGGGGTGAAGCTTCTTGCTTTTTCATGGTATTCAACGCTGGCTAACTAGCTTGTTTCTAGCTTACGTAAGCTGGTTTCTGACTCAGTCATCATTGATCAATATCAGTAAGAATAGCCGTAACTATAATCAACCCCACTACTACTGGAATGAGTTTTTACTAGCTACGAGTATTTTGCATGCATTTAATCTTCAAAACAATCTAGGAGGTAGACACGATTATCCCTTTTTTATAGATGAGAAAACTGAGGCTCGAGGAAGATAAATAACTTATCCAGTTCATAAATCTAGGAAGTGGTAGAGCTAGGACACAAACCCAAGTCCACCTGACCACAAAGCCCAGCTCTTAACTACTGTGCACTACCTACTGCTTTTCTAATAATGCACAGTGCCTCCCTGAGTAAATTCCCTATGGGAGGAGTCTTTCCACCTCAGTCCAATATAAGGCAAGTGGTTGCAGGTGCTGGGTAACATAATGAGCTCCACCTCGGTAATCACTCTGAGTAGACAATGCTCAAAAAACAAAGCACCAAATAATGCAAAAAGCATAACAGTTACCCTCTGACGTCTCTGTTTGGAAAAGGGGACCTCTGGACTCCCCCAAAAGGATCTCTACTTTCTGGGACCTGTCCAATCTCCATACCAGGCAGGATACAGCCTGTCAATAATTCAGAAAAGCATCCATCACCACGAATTCCACAGCCTCAACCTAGCTCAACATTCTTGTCCCATCCTGCTTTCTCTGGCTTCCTGGGGGCGGCTGGGGCAGGAGATAAGTCACACACTGAAGCCAAGGGGCACTGCAATGTCTTGCCATTACTTCACTCATTGACTTTGGAAATGAAGGAATATAAACAAAGAACTACTTTCGGGACAATATACAATATCAGAGAGGAAAAAACTGACAATAGCAGGAGGCATTAGCCTTGGTGTGTGTGGAGTAGAGAGCTCAAACCCAAATTCTGATGGGGAAACATGAGTAGGACTCCACCTCTGAGCCACAGGATTCAAACATGTTAGGAGACCATCCCATGAACTAAGCAAAAGCCTCATGGGACATAAATTCAGAATTAGAGGAGTATATGCCTAAGTTGTGTGTGCAAGGAAGTAACGTCAGTTCTCATCCTCCCATGGGAGTAACTTTGAGGTTCAAAACAGTGATTTCTTCTAGTCGCATATTAGGCATTCATACTTCAGGAAAGTGCTTTTGTACTGCACAAAGACAGCTCATGGACCCCAAAACATTAGAATCGAAAGGGACCTTAAGAGCCAGACTGTTGGACAGACATGGATAATGAGGCCCAGTGAGGGAAGGAGACAGGCTCAAGGTCACAGGGCTAGTTGGTGGCAGAGTTAGAACTAAAACCCAGGCTTTCTGTTTCTCTAGCCAATGATCTTTCCACTGCACATTTCTTTGGTGGCCCAGTCCACAAACCCCAACAGAGCACCAGACATTTCTCCTAGCTCATATACTATCACCCACTTCTCTCTGAGAATGCTTTTATACGGCCACTTACATCTTTGGGGATTTTCCCTACCCAGCTTGTAGTGCACAAAGCAGTATACAAAAACCACACAGATAGCACACTCTTAGAGGCTCACTTAAAAACCACCAGTCACAATAACTGCTGCTAGCATCCTGGTAGACCAAGAAGAGACACCACCCCTAAGCTCCAACCTCAGAGCAGAGAACAAAGACCAGTTCCAAGAAAAATGTCGATCTTACTCTTTTCTGTGTGAACCCCACTCTTCCAAAGTATCTCATTGCTCAAAAGATCAATATGATTCCTTGGAGTCACCACAGAAGTCCCGAGTCAAATACACAGTCCCCGTCCCTCCCCACAGCCCTTACCACACACATAGCAATGTAATCACTTTAGCAACTTCTCAGTAACAAGCTCATTAAAAAGCAATTCTGCCATCTCTCCATAAAGCACGCGCCAGAGAACAATGCAAAAGAGGAGATGCCAATTAATTATAGAATGATCACATGTAATGAACTTTGAAACCCTCCTGCTGTTGGTGACTTTGATGAAAAATCAGGGATGCTGGGAAAAGAGTGAACAGGGACACCCTGGCTACCTTGTTTAACTGTGAGTGCTTTCAAATGCACCTCCTCAGATCCCAGTGTTGATCGGAACTGCAGAGCTACACTCACAAAACAACACAAGGTATTGGTAGGGTGACAAGCGTCTGTCTCAAGGACAGCTGTGAGTCCCACTGCCAGAGCCCCTTCGGCCATCCTCAGAACTGCTGGACGCCACACTGGGGTTGGCACTGTTGGCACTGCCTCTGAAAGCAGCTCACAGCCACCAAGGGACAAACCCGTGTCCTCTGCTCGGGACATCTTGAGTCCCTCTGCTTCCCAACCCGGGCCCCCCTGCCTCGCTATCACCTCCTGGTCAGCACCGATGCTGCTCCTCGGGACAAGGAGAAGCCCTTCCCACCACGAGGCTACCGGAGGGAAGGGAGAAGAAACCACGTGCGGCCGACTTGTACCACTACCTGTGTGAGTCCTCTGATGGGCCTTTAAGTGGGAGCTTTTTGTATAAACCTTCCGGCACCCGTTAAACTGACAGCGGTGAACCCTCTTCTTGTTTTCGGGGCATGCTTCAGCCCCTAGCCCTCCTTGGTCACTGTCGCTCTGTCCACTCTTAACGGTCCCGGCTGCCGCCACGGCCGCTGCTGCTGTTGCAACCCCTCCCACCTTTACGGAGCTGAGTGCAGCCTTCTTGGCCACCAGTTTCAACGTCACCGTGCCATCCACGGCGGATAGAGTCTGTGAGGTTTTGACCAGATGGCGGCTGAGCTCAGGGGACGATGGAGGCGTTAATGAGGTCACTGCGTTGAGCTGGGCCTGGTTGACGGCTGTGTAGCTGTCTAGAGAAGAGCTGGTTGGCTGGAGGCTGAGGCAGGTCTCAGATAGCAGTTTGTCCCGAGAGAGCAGAATGTCCACTGCCGAGCTCTTCTCACAGATGGTTGCTTCCACCGGGAGCAGCAGGGGGTCTAAGCGCCGGAAGCTTTCCTCAATGCACGGGGGAGGAGAAGCATGGAGGAAGCAGTCCAAGTCCTCGCCAAAGGTCTCTGAGATCCTCCTGGGCTCCGTCTGTAGGTAGCGTTCCAATTCAAGGCATGTCTGCAGAGAGGAAGAGGGAGGGAGAGAAACAGCCATCAGAGGCAGAGAACACCATGAAGCCACACGTTGACAGGCAGAGGGGGAAGGTCCAGAGAGAATGCTTTCACGGCTGGTGTCTGCAACACTTTTGGAAAGGTCTGACCTTGCTATTTACTCTCTGAATACCCCTGAAGGGATTCTAAGGGTCGTATCATACGATTTCAACTACTCTAGCTGAAGGAGAACTAGAGCCCCAGAAGGACTATCTCATGTCTTCAAGATCCCAAAGAACATCAAATGATAAAATAATGACCTTCTGCCCCTCAATCCAATTCCCAGCATTTTTAGGAGCTCCCATGTGAGCAAGAAGCAAATAGAAATAGACAAAGTTTTCATGCTAACACAGACTTCCCAGAGTCCACCTTCATTTTTCAAAATAGACTCCAGCAAGTCACACAAATAGGGCAATTTTTTCCAACTTGCTCTGAAGAACAAACCATGTCCACTCAAACTAAGAGGTGACCTCAGCAGCAATCAGGCATCAGCAAGCCCCACCTTGGGCATGGATTTCCTCACCAGCAGGAATGGGCACTGCTCTACAGAGCGCCTACCATAAAACCTTTGAGGCTCAAGACAAAACCCTTGTGGTTCACAGCAAATTATTAAAAATACAATGGCTACGTACTTTGTGGCAAGGAGCATAAATGCCGTTTCAATGGTTTAGCATCTCTAACTACATGACAAAAGTAAGTTTAAACATAGCTACTTAGACAACTTAAAGATAGGACTGGATATATTTCAACATAAAATTTTTACCTGGTAAAGAAATAGAGGAGAAGGATCAAAAAGTTTAGTTTCAACAAATCTTCATCTATGGTGCTCATTAAGTCTATGTAAGATGGTAGAAGTGATGTTATGGCAAAAGAGATAGTTGAGAAGTTTGTATTCTAAAGCTCTCCTCACTTAGAAACCCTACCATTCCAGAATCTTGTATAAAACTACATTCCTCACTTGCACCATCAGCTCCGTTTGCTCTTTCTGCTGGATTCAACAAAGAACCACCAATAGCAAATTTTAAATGTAACTAGCTCCAAATTTACTGCCTCCGTAAAGCTTCTATGTTTTCAACCAATGTTCTGATTCTAGGCTTTTATTTTGTTAAGAATATATTTTAATGATATACCTAGTCATGTTGTATCTGTCAAGGATTTTATTTTGGTGACATTTCAAAAGATTGGTTTTTAATGAGATTTCTGGTAATGCTCTGCATTACTGAATAAGAAAACTAGCTATGGTTTAACTATGAATCAGCTTTGGGGCTCACTGTGGATCTTCAATGGTATGAACTAATGAATGGTCCCAATCTTCATTCAATACTCAAGTCATAAATGTTCATTCAACTACTGTGCTCACAGCAAGGTGCAAGGCTTTGTATGTACTAGAAGGAGAAGACACAGCAATAGATCCATGTGATGTAGGTGCAGAATAAATAACTGCAAGCCAAAGATGACATGAATTTACAAAGCAATATGATACCACATAAACACCATAATACAAAGTGTGTTGGTAAGTTCTTAAGGGCTAAGTGGACAATGAATTCTATACTCTATAGGTATTAATCAAGGAAAGCTTATTGGGAAAGCAAATTTTTATTTTGCTTTACTTATTGATTAACTAATAGCTCTGACTTAGTAGTGTCCCACCAATTTATATTAGAAACCAATACTACCACCTTCTCAGCTCTAGAAATATGCATTATCCTCACTTGTTCCTTTTTCTGAACTCCACATCTCAAAAATTTCCCCTTCCTTTTTCCATTTCATTGTTAGAAATCATCATTTACTTGTCTCCAATATTGAAACCCTCCTTCTTAGCTCCAGTCAATTCACTTTCAAATTATAAGATTCTACTCCTGAAACTTCCCCTATATATCCCCTTACCTTTTTAAACCATCCCCTACCTAGCATAGTGCCTGGCACCCAATAGGTACATAATGTCTGTCAAAGATGAAATCGACATTATATTATTACTTTGCTTGTTCTACCTCTTCTACTCTTCAAAAGCCATCTTCTGACACCCCACCCTGGACCATGCTGAGATCTGACCATCAATACATGTCTTCTGGAACACAACTGTAACGCGTTTTGAGCTCTGCCCAAAGAGCAGAATCAGGTCTTTGAGACATATATACGTTTTAGGTAAAAATCAGCTGAGTCACAGGTTATGAGATGTCCTTGAGGCAGTTCCCTGCCTCCCACAAAGTGACGATTTCACACTCAGTCACCACTGGCTAGCTTTTGTATGCCCTGTTCCTCTACATACCTTCTAGCTCAAAGATTTGAAAGTCTAAGAAATTGTTATTTCAAAAGGCTCATATCTTTTCATATTCAGAGTTCTGAGGAACTGAGATATTCTAAATACATTTGCACACTCTTCTGGGAGGATTAAAAAATAACCTACCCGGTATGCCCCGGTTTGAATCCCAGGAGCACATGAGTCATACTTATGATCTAAAGACGGAGAGACCTCTGATCACTAAAATGTGGTAAAATCTGGATCACTTCAGAGAGGCTATAACTCACAATCCTGACACAGGACCTGAGAATCGCAGAAGCGTGAGTGTCCATCAGGATGTGTTGAACAGACCTATGAAATCATTATGGAATAATTTTTGTCTTGAGAAATCCACTTCTTATCCGCTAGAGATGAAGGTTAGGTGGGTAGAAGTCTACTGAAAACCAGGGTGAGGGGTTTAAAGATGTTCTCATCAAGAGTGTGCAGACTAAAATGTTAAGAATGAGGAGGACTTTAATATCAGATTATTTCTAAGCTAATGAAAACATTTATCGCCAATGTTATTTGCAAATGATTGTAAGAACTCATTTAAGAAACGCCCATGATGTTTAACTGGAACTTGAGATATCAGTATTTCTTCATGTATTTTATAAAACACACATACACAGGTATGTGTAGAAATAAATGTGTGTGTGCATGTGTGAGTATATACACATGTTTTTCCTCACTCCATCCACTGAAAGAGCCTACAAGCAAAGATACCCCTTTAGCAATGAGCAAGCTTAGCAGGGATCTTGGTTTCTGACTATCATTATTCAATAAGGGGAACCAGGGCTCCTTCGAGAAATAGTTCTTTGAAGCACTGGGGCAAAGAAAATACAAGATAAGCCTAGAATATCTTGTAGTACCAAAAGGCAAAAAAGTGCTCATAAAGTGATGGAAGTCTGTCAAAAAGATTCAGGAGCCAACTTAAAGAAGCTCACCATGGCCAAATCTGGACAATTTGAGAAAAAAAAAAAAAAGACTAATGATAATCATAGATTATATTCCATAAAATAAAATAAATATCTACCACTCAATACTAATATAAATAAATGACTGATAAGTAAACAAATGGATAGGAAGAGTCAGCTACTCCTTACAATAAAATTCCAATTTATAAACATAGAAGGAAAGATGGACACAGAAAATAACCATTAGGCAAACAACAAAGTAATAATGATTACAAGTAAGAATCACCAATGGATGCTCAAAATCAGTGATGAGAAATGAGATATCTGCCTAGTCACACAGTATCTCCCCCAAAATATTTGTTAATTACAAAGAGAAAAATAATAACTTTATAGTGGAGAAGGCTGGCAGACACCACCTTAACCATGTGATCCAAGTTAGCAGCAACAGTAACAAGTCATATTGATAATACGCCTGATATGAGATGCTGACGGGATACAATATTATTCTGAGAGATTTCTGCCAAAAATGGACAACCTCCAGCTAATCATGGGAAAACATCAGACATATCCAAATTGAGGCCTATTCTATCAGAAGAACTGGCCAGTTATTCTTTAAAAGTGTCAAGGTCTTGAGGACCAAAGGATGACTGGGAAGTGTCACAGATTGGAGGAGACCGAGGAGAGATGACAACTAAACACAATGGATCCTGGTCTGGATACTGGAGCAGGAAAAGGGTATTAGTGGAAAAAAGAATGTAATTCAAGTGGAGTGTACAGATTGGCTAATGGTATTATATCACTGATAATTTCCTGGTTCTAATATTTGGACTCTGGTTAGGTAATATTAGGGGAAGCTGGGCAAAGTATATAAGGTAACTCTGTGTACTACTTTTGCAACTTTTCTTTAAGTCTAAAATAATTTCAAAAAGAAAGAAAGACAGACAGACATACCCATTAGCAAACCAAGAGTGTCTCTAGATTTTAAATTTGGATATAGAGTTCAAATGTTTGTCCACCAGAACCAGAGATTTACTCTGTTTCAATGTCATGATAGTCAGAAAATACCAAATCTGAGTCAGCAGATATCAGTTTAATGACATAAATTATGTCTGTCTGGTACCTCACCTTGGAGATACGAGGCTTCCCTCAGCCTGACCTGAAAATACAATTTAATTGAGCCACTGGATCAACCCCCACCCTCTGAAAAATTCATTACAGTCAGCGAAGGTAAGGAAATGTTCCTAAGCACAAAGTGATTTTCCTCTATATTTATGAGTCACAAATGAGCTTTGGGAAGACTCTCTGGTATCTCAACTTTGAAATGCATGGCGGCTTCTCCTAGTTTCCTATTAAATATTGCCTGAAATTGGTTTTGAATGATCACCCTGAAACCTTTTTTAATACTCTCTTCATGCTTTTCATAGTCTTCTTACTTGTTGAAACATGCACATTAAAAGTAATAATCCGGCCAGGCGCGGTGGCTCACGCCTGTAATCCTAGCACTCTGGGAGGCCGAAGCGGGTGAATCGCTCAAGGTCAGGAGTTCGAGACCAGCCTGAGCAAGAGCAAGACCCCGTCTCTACTAAAAATAGAAGGAAATTATCTGGACAACTAAAAATATATATATAGAAAAAATTAGCCGGGCATGGTGGCACATGCCTATAGTCCCAGCTACTCGGGAGGCTAAGGCAGGAGGATTGCTTGAGCCCAGGAGTTTGAGTTTAAGGTTGCTTTGAGTGCACGGCACTCACTCTAGCCAGGGCAACAGAGCCA